GGCATGGAATGGATCTTACTATTATTTTTAGGGTGCAGTTGCATACAGATGCATCCGTAGCTGTAGAGGTAAGGTGCGCCTTCAAATTTTATCATGGTATATAATTTTTATGTAAAATGTTCTTAGGATTATCTCAAAATCTATTTTTATATCTAATCATAAAATTTTAAATTTCAAAAATGGTTAAAATCAAGTAGATCTATAAACATATGACAATCTTGAAAATGGACGGTGTAGATAATATGTTGTAAAATGCACTATTTCAGAGACTTAAAATCTTTTTATTTTTTATGGTCATACAACTCGATGTCGAGATGATTAATTCCGATGTATTTTTGCGGCGCATACGTAGCTCTACATTATACGATTGTAACCTTATATAAACTTTTTCTTTATTTTTATTTTTTATCGGTTGCTAAAAATTAGGACTAGTGGATCGAGCCGGTCACCCATCGGTCAAATCAAACTGGTAGGACAAAGAATTTAAGCAAGGTTTAAAAAGTTTAAACATAGTTTAGGGTCCTCAAATCGTTCTAAAAATACTTTTATTACATTAAAAGACTTTAACATCGTTTTGGGGTGATTTGATCTAAGTCTAGATTTTGTGAGGGATTTGGATCGGTCACCAACTGGTTCGAGTTGAACCTAAAACATTGGCTTGTCCGGGCCGCTTTTTTAACCATAATTCTATAAGTTTACGTGGTACCACTACCACATACTACCACATTACTATCATCACTATCATTTGTTAGTCTGATGCCTTGATGAATACCGAATTTAAAAAGTTTGTCAAAAGATTTCCTACTCTTACCTATCCATTTGATGTATCGAACATAATGCATGGGAGGAATACTTTTTAGATCTCAAATTTTGGGATATAGTCTCTACAATTCATAAACTAATCTCAATAAAAAAGTTATGAAATAAACTCTTTGTGTACTAAAAAAAAAATTCTCTAGGTTGAATAGATACAATCAAGTTTTTATAGGGCTAGATCTAAGTCTCACAAAACCCAAAATCCAATTTTTTTTTATTTTGAGAATGATCATCTGATGATTCTTACGTGGTTCTCAATATTTTATACTAAAATATTTTTCCTAAGTAGGTATCTTGCACGAGAGAGTAGATGCACAATCTGCTCCCCCGAGAGCATTATACATTGGTGTTATGCCAAAATGATATGGGAATTGTTGCCGCTTATTCAAAGACGAAGGTTATTTATGAGTTGAGGTCAATGGTTTAAAAAACGGACCGGTGACTCGGATCGGGTTTTCAAAAAACCGATCCGGATTGATGAAAATTCGAAAAAAATTATTAAAATTCATTATAAATATTGTTTTTTAGGAATTCAATAAGAAATAAGGGTACTCCATTAAGAATTTTCATGTTTTTGAATGAATATGCGAATATTGATATGTTCTTTCCCTGCATGAACCGCCATTCAGCATTTAATTTACATCACACAAAAGGATGAACATATAATTATCATGGAATAAGTATATCAACACACATGGACTACAATAAAGCATAAAATTAGTAACATATGATCTAAAAATAAAATGATAGACGACGTTATTGTTCTTC